AGGATTTAAAAATTGTCAAAGTTGAAATTTATAATAAAAACATAGTAAGTGGACTCAAATTTTTGGAAGCAACTATATGTCAAGATTATTATTTATTTTAAAGATTTTAAATATATTATAATTAGCCTTTTTTTTTACTTTAAAAACTTTTTTTATTATGACCTGTCAAAATAATGATTATGCTGCAAATTGATTATAAAAAATCAAATTAGACCAAAAAATGTTTAGTTAATAGTAAAAGTGTTATTTAATAAAATAAAATCGATTTTATTAAATTATATTATTAGCATACATACAGTATATTATTAATAGCACCCTGTTTATTTTTCGATCGTTTCACGTGTACCGATTAATACACGTTTCGTCATTCGTATACTGCATCTCTTTCCCGGCCTGGGTCTATAAAAACGAAAACATTAGAAAGGAACAATTCAAACATCGCGGGTTATCAGATGATGGATCATATTCAAAATTCGGCCTTGGCACAACGTCGAGTTACTCTGGCAGGCCGAGCCACTCGGACACCAAGAGTGAATAGGTCTCGACTAATCAAAGTATATTGATCATTAGAAAGTTAACAACCTCCGAAAATTCATAATTATTTTTTATTAGGCGAACGAGTTTATTTGGTGGCACCGCCCAATCAACTGCCCAACCAGGGGGGAATGCTAGTGGCCCTAAGGATATCAGGCCGATACGCGAGAAACAATATCAATTAGAGTCTATAAAAATAATAGCCGAATATTTAAACGAAGCCGAGTATAAGTACATAGTCGATGAAAGGTTATTTCAAATGCCCACGGCAAAAGAATACCACGCAATTTTCAAATTTGTATTTCAGAGGCTCGATCCCGGGAAAGACATAACAAAAATAGAGGAAATTGTAAATGTCTTAAGATGGATAAAGTGTGTATTTGAGACTAGTCAAAAGTCTTTTGGTGAATGGCACGATTGCTAAGAGAACAAGGTGATCAATTATAGGTATCCATATGCACATGAAATCTCGAAATCTTCTTTACAAGCTGTCGGGAACGTGCAAACATGGCCAAACCTTCTTGGTATGTTTTTTCCAATCAATCGACAGTTTAAAAAAAAAGAAAAGATTAAGCCCCGAACTTTTTTTTTTAGGGGCGCTACGATGGCTGGTGGAATTTGTCGCCGTAAGCATGAAAAATTCACGCGTTAGAACTTATAAGTTGAGATGCTAAGATTCATTCATTTCCGCGTACCCCCGTATTTAGACCTGGGAAATCATTGATCAATTAGAAAAAGAGGCAGAGGGAGAACCGGCACCATTTAATCCCGATACAGCATTTTTTTCTTACATCACCAAAGCTTACAATGTGTTTCTGGAGGGCGAGGATGATTATTCGGAGATGGCGGAAGAGCTAGATGCTGCATATGGTAATTACAAAATTTTATATCGAGGAATTTCTTACACACTATAGCATAACTTTTGATGCATTTAAAATAGAACAAAGTAACGCGGAGATAGTCGCTCAAACTGCCGATTTACAAAAGAATGTCGACGCGCTTGAAAAGGAATTGAATGAAATGTGCGAGGTAAGGATATATTTTTATTCCATGATGCAAACGTTCCCAAGGGTGACTTTTATTATTTATAGAATCCTCTGACGACCGTTCAAAATGAGAACAAAACGTTGCT